GCTTATTCTCTGACTCTTTCTCTGGGAGGTGATCTCCATGAAAGCAAGGATCGTTTCTAATTAGTTCACTGATATAACCCTCGTGCCTGACACGTGGATGCAATCACTAAGGGTTTATCAAATAAATCTATGAACTTCAAATACAAAGCTAATGAAGATTGAAATATGTCTATATTAGTCATATTACGTTTGTGCTCATTTTATTTACTAAATTAATATAGTGTGTGTATGTGTTAGGTCACACTTAAGCATGAATTTTGGAGTGAAGAATCTGTAACAATCACATGTGGCCAATTGCACTGGTAAAACAAGGTGGGATGATATGACACTGTCCCACAGGGGAAATTGGTATGAATTATCAGACAATTATAAACTAATTAAAATAAAAGTTGTTACTGTCAGTAAGAAAAATATAGTCATTCCTATGTTTAGCCTTCCAAAAATCAGCTTTTTTGTATTAAATTTAGAGGGAAAGAACTAAAATTAAATGCCATGTTCTAACAGTCAAGAAGCATTTCATGAATTACTATTGTTTACTCAGTGCTATGTTAATAGATGTGAAATAGAAGTTTAAGAATGCTCCTTTCCTTTATGTAGCTCTTACCATAATCTCTTTGCTGGATTCCTGAAAGGATAGTAGATATCTTATAGAATCACTGAGAAGGCTGTAGAACCAGGCCCAGAAAATGTACGAGAGCAAGGAGGCTGACAGCAGCCTGTATCATCACACAGAATCAGTGCTCTGAGGTGTCACTGCTGCCACGAGGGAAGGCTGCTGCTGCTGCTGCTGCTGCTGCACCACCTCCTGCTTCCTTGTGTCACTAGCTCCTCATCCGAAATCTGAGGCTAGTGCATCCAGCTGGGTGCATCTAACTGAGGTGCCCAGAGCAACCTCTTTGCAAGGCAGTCTAGGAAAGCAAGTATATGTCTATTTTGTGTCTATAAATCCCTACCAGTAGGGAATTTCCCTCATGTGGGAGCACAATTTAGACATTGGACAGCTCCCTCCTTCCTCAAAAAATGTATTAAGATTTTTTGTCTTTATTCCCACTTGGCTCTAAGCTTCAAGGACAAGGATTGGGAGTTCCTCATCTTAGTTCCCACTGTGGTCAAGGCAGCGCCTGTCTCTTGGTGAACCGAAATGAATTTATACTGAAAGTAAAACATAGGGCTTGATTTATTTTAAGAAAGGAAATGATAAAATTTTTTTAAAAAATGCTGAAAGAAAGTTAATTTTTCAGAGGATTTCATGTAAGAGATTGTCATAAGGGGAAAAATAAGCTAGAAGGATGTATGGAGACAGTGACTTTAAAAAAACAGGATAATTGAGTTTTAAGACAGATAAAGATTTTGAATCTTTGTTTTGTTTTAATTGCAATTGCGATATAATTTACATACAATGAAATGCACATTCCTTAAGTGTTTAGCTTGATAAATCTGACAGTTGTACATTCCTCTATGACATCACGTAAAACAAGGTAAAAATCTCTTCTATTACACAGAAAATGTCCCAGTGCCTCTTTCCAGTCTTCTCACCCCCTCTCCCCACCTGATTAAACTACGCTCTTCCCGTTACTATTTCTGTAGATAAATTGTACCTGTTCTTAGACTTTATGTAACTGGAATCATACCGTGTGTACTCTTTTATGTCTGTATTCTTTAGCTCAGCATATTTTTGGGATTCAGTCATTATGCTTCATCTGTCAGTTTGTTCTTTATTGATGCATAGTAATTCAGTTATCTTAGTAAGCCATAATTTATTTATTCACCTATTGATAGATTTTTTTGAGTTGTTTCCAGTTTGGGGCTGAAATGAATAAGGATGTTATAAACACTTTTATACGACTTTTTTCTTGTGGATATCTGTTTTCATGTATCTAGGAAGGGTAATACATTTAACTTTATAAGAAATTGTCGAACATGTTTCCGAAGAGTTGAACCATTTCACAGTCCCACCAGCAATATCAGAGTTCCATTTGTTCCACATTCTTACCAACATTAGTGTGGCTTATCTTTTGTAGTGTAGATTTTAGGCTTCCTAGTGGGTATGTAATAGTATCTCAGTATGATTTTAATTTTTAATTTGCCTAATTCTAATGATCTGATCATTTTTCATGTGTCTTTAGCTTTTTGTATATCTGCTTTTAAAGTGTGTGTTTATGTCTTTTGTCATTTTGGTGTGTTTATTATTTTACTATTGAGTAGCAGAAATGCTTTACATGAGTCATATGCATATATATATTTCCTAGTCTGTGGCTTGCCTATGCATTTTCTTAATGCTACATTTTGATAGACACAAATTTTCAATTTTGATAAAGTTCAGTTTACCTTTTTTTCTTTTATGGTTAGTATTTTTTGGGTCCTGCCCGAGGCATTGTTGCCTTTCCCAAGATCACAAAGATATTCTATACTTTGTTCCAGAGGCTCTGTGGTTCTGATTTCTATGTTTAGGTCTGTGATCCACCCTGAATTAAGTTCTAAATATGGAGTGAAATAGGGAGTGAGGTTCATTTTTTAAATACTGATATATCATTGTTTCAGCATCATTTGACTTTTCTTTCCTCATGAATAACTTGGCAATTTGATTGAAATTAATGTTTGAATTTTGTTGTGAAAGTATATATGTATTATATATAGATTTGATTACAACCTAATTAGAACTACCTAATTTAAGTAGAATATACAAGCTAATCAATTTCTTCCCAATTTACATATACTTATTTTAGGAGAGATCAGAGTGGCCTTTGTCCTGTATAACAACTTGGGTCCTTATTTGTCCACGGAGAATGCCAGCATGAAGTTGGGAACAGAGGCTATGTCCACCAATCATTCTGTTATTGTCAATTCCCCGGTTATTACAGCAGCAATAAACAAAGAGTTTAGTAATAAGGTTTATTTGGCTGATCCTGTGGTGTTCACTGTTAAACATATCAAGGTAAGAAAATGACATTTAAAGTTTTGTTGTCCACATTATCTATATTTGTTATAACATAAGCATGAAGTGTCTGAATTTTCTTTTCTTTTTCCCTAATTATTTGATACAGTAATTCATTATGTAAAAAATTATTAGTGATTTTTTTTCCACAGTAAGGAAGGAGAGTAATTCTTGTATACATATGTACTTTAGGTAAAAACATTTATGGATCTATAAATGTTTCTCTATAATTAAAAATAGCAAGCAATATGTTCAGTGGAAATGGACATGGCTTCACATCTGGTATTACAAGTAATTATGTCTTTGTGTGTAGTTATATTTTTGTGTATATGTAAGGATTGTATTGTAAATTGAACAGAGATTTTTAAAACCATCCTTTCAGAAGTTGATTATATAGAATAAGTCTTTACTTTGCAGTATAAATTAATTGATATGACTCTGAGACATTGATACTAGTATTCTTTCAATATTAATTTTTTAAAACAATGAATTCACCTCTAGTCAAGAGGGGTAAACAACAGCATATATTCAAATTTGCTTTGATTTGATGAGCTCCACTTAATATGAAAACACTAGTAGACATTGCCACAAAAAGTTGGAACATAGTATGAACTTGTGTTCAATGTAAAGAAAATGCCTACCTAATATACGTGATCATAAGGTAGTTATTGGCTTTATTGATGTCTTTTTCCTGCAGCAGTCTGAGGAAAATTTCAATCCTAACTGTTCATTTTGGAGCTATTCCAAGCGCACAATGACAGGTTATTGGTCAACCCAAGGCTGTCGGCTCCTGATAACAAATAAGACACACACTACCTGCTCTTGTAACCACCTAACCAATTTTGCAGTACTGATGGCACATGTGGAAGTTAAGGTAAGATATATACCACAAAATAAAAATGCCTTAGCATACAGTTAAGACACTAACTGTATGAAGTCCTAACTCTGTCTAACTTGAGACATAATTCTAGTCAAGAACACTCTGGTGTTCAACCCCTATCCTCCTGGATGAGGCAAAGAACTCTTTTTTTCTATTTTCAGTACAGTTTATAAAATTGAAATTTGCTTTTAAATTACAATTTTGCTAACAAAGCTTCCCCTATCTTCCCTGATTTTACTTTGTATGAATAAATGTCCAAATAAATGACCATATCCTTATGAGCGGGGCAAGATAGGACCCCAGCACCAAAGGCCAGTGTGATGGGGTTAGGAAGCTGGGATCTGGTAGGCTGAAGACTAAGGAGCTTGCATGGGATTAAATACTCTCAAATGAGTCTTGGAGAAATAGCCATTAAGCACAATACACAGAGCATGGTAATACATAGAGCTTGGCAAATTTTAACATAATATAATGGTTCTTTCCATTCAAGAAGACACTATTCTAAGGAAAAATCCAGGTGATATATTGTTTCCAAAATCAAGTGTGACTAACGTGACTTCACCAGTCTCTTTCCAGTGTGACTGCTTTGTCATAGAAGGCAGGAAAAGGATTTAGATTTCTGATAAATTTAGGAAATAAAAATACAAGGGGCTTATTAACTTGGCTATATAGATTGATAGATGGGTTAGTTACAGGAAATTGTATACTTGTGAATTCTCTTCTTATCTTCCTGATGTCAATAAAAATAGAGGAAGTATCACTATCCAATATATTTTAAAACATGAAAACTGTGGTAAAAGTTTTATCTACCTGGTGTCATTGATCAGTAATTTCATCCAGAATTTTCTTTGACACTGTTGAGTTTTGAGATGATACAGATATCCCAGAGGAAGACCACATTTCCACACCCAGTTAGCAGCTTAGGAGTAAATTACCTTAGCTGTGTCAACACAGTCAAATTTTGGTCTTTAAAGGACTACAAACGCAATTCGATCAGAGCTTCACAAACTGATCAAGCTTAGCGAGATTGGCTGTACTAACAAATGTTACATTTAAACCTGGAATGTGTTAGTATGGCTCCAGGATTCTATCTTTCAGCTTAGGGGATAAATTCAAACATAGAGAAATGGATCATATTTCAAGCAACAACAAAATGTAATTTTTCGCTCAGTTCATTGCTTAACAGCCTCTCCCCAGTCCATTACACAAGAATCTTGACTGTGACCATTATTGTGTGTCAACAAGAGATAAAATAGATGGAAATCAATGTTTTCCTTCAGCAGTCAGTCACAGAGTAAGTATGCCCTGGATTTCTTGTATCACAGTCTCTTGCAGTTGCCTGAGTCAGTCCCATTTTGAGTGCACAACATGATTTTGTCACTGGAAACATGGAAAACAAGCAGAGTGATCATCCCTGGAAGTTCAAAAAGAAACACACTGACCAAACTTACATTAGACTAGTATCTAGAACAGAATGCTAATTTATTCATGCACAGTGAGATGTACAATGGCCAGTTGTAACAGATACTTATGTTTGCTAGTTATCACTTTCTAACTCCACAAGAAAACCCTCTGCCAGAGGTATCACAGATTCCAGCACTCTGGTGAAGCTTCTGGTCCTCATGGACTCACATTTCTAAGGGCAAGGAAAGGGCAGAGAAGGGAACTGCAGTCATAATTGTGATGATTCTTATAACTGAGGCCTACACTGTGATATAGGGACACAGAGGAGGGTCATTGATCTAAGACAAAACTGCTCAGAGGGTTTAGCAAAAAAGGGTCCTGCTCTGAAGAATGCGTAGGGTATATTTAACAAGATAACCCGTGGAAAATGTGCATCAACCACATTCTTGCCACATTTCTTCACTTTTCCTTGGAGTACACCATTCTCTCTTGCTTCTTTCCTTCCTCAGCAGCTGGTCCTTTTTCACTTCTTTTGCTGATTCCTCCTCATTTCCACAATCTCTCATTGTTGCTCTGG